ATACCTATTTATTATAGTATCAAGGTTGAAGATTGTTCCAACCCAAAGGTAAAACTTTTCACTTAAAGGAATGAGTTTTCTCTAAGTTGATTCTTAAACCCTTCATCTTTGCCATCGGCTTATTCCCTTAAGGCTAGCTTTGTATTTGAGTATAATAATCCTAAAACACTAAGATGAATTTTAACAAGATTTTAGTCCTTACTTTGGTTGACTAATGATATATTTTGCAGAAATACACACGCTGTAATTAAGCCTTCCTCTGTATGAGACATTTTTTGTTTTTTAACGTTGAATATGAGGATATAAAATATTAGGAAAGACTTTTTCAAAATATTCTAAATGCTAAAAAAATTACCACAAAACTGTCAAAAATAAAAACATTTATTAATCTTTTTTCCCCCGAATCCCTGTTAGACTTGTTCTGAAAGAGGAGTTAGAGTGGTAGTTGGTGCCTGTCTTGAAAGTCAGGAGATTTGGATTCTTGTCTTGGTTGATAGCTAATTAGCTGTCTGTGACCTTAGATCGTTTATTTATTCTCTCTGGCCCTTATTTTCTTATCTGAAAAATGAAGATGTTTGATTAAATGATCTCTAAGGTCCTTTTAAGTTCTAAAATGCTAAGAGTCTATGAAGTAAGTTTTGCAAGTAGTTGTACATTGTATTTTAAGATTCATAAAGGTATACTATCTACATATGTATGAGTATTAATATCTTTGATTATTTAGTTGTGCAAACGTTTGTTGAATGTTTTTGTATTCTATGATGGATGTTGGAGATATAGCGGTGAATAAGGCAGTCATGGACCTTGCCCTCATGCAGCATAGTTTCCCATGCAAAAGAATTGAACAACTATTACATAATTATTTTATTTAGTTGTGATATGTAACTATGAATATTGAATAGTAGAATGAGAACAGTAATGGAAAAATGATCACCGGGGTACTTGGATTGTAGATTGCAAAGAGAGAATAGCATATACAAAGGCCTTAAGCAAACATCCTGGAATATTTAATGAATTTTGAGAAGACAGAATACCAGAGGGAGTAACATAATATGTGGCTGGTGAGATGGGTAGGGGTCAAATCATACAGTGATTTGGAGGCTATTTAAGAATTTTGGTTTTTAATGTTAATATTATTCAGATACATTACTTTCAATTATGTCCTTGATATTACTCAATCCAATACATGCAAATACTCATGAAATATATCTTTATAGAGAAACATTTTCTGTCAATCACTGCACTATGAATGCCAAAAGATTTCTGGTTTCTGTCTGTACCTTTACTCTTTAAAAATGTTTTAAAATATGTTAACCTAACAAGATTTGTAAGGTCAATATAGAAAAATTATTTAATGTTTGTTAAAGTCAACTAAGTGTTTTTCATTTTGGATTATCAGTTATTTCATATTTTCAGTGCCCCTTTCCTGCTCATTAAGTGTAAGACTCGAGAATTTCTGATGTATTATTTGTTAAAGATTAGCAAAGTAATACATGAGTCTTATAGTTTACGTTATTATTTGTCTGTTGATTTGCTCATTTCACCACTGACTGTTTCCTTTATTAGGAGATACTAACATACAAAAACCCTATTAAATCATCTGATATATTTTTTTAAATACCTTTTTTAAAGCTTTAGGTTTTTAAAAAATATTTTCTAAAAAAAGATTTAGGTGCACATCAAAGTTGAGAGAAAGGTACAGAGATTTCCCATACATTCTCTACCCCCAGTTATGCATAGCTTCCTCTGCTATCCCTGTTCCCCCACCAGAGTGGTATTACAATTGGTGAACCTACAGTAACATCATTATCACTCAGAGTTCATAGTTTACATTGGGGTTTACTCTTGGTGTTGTACATTCTATGAGTTTTGAAAAATTCATTTTCACATATATCTATCATTTTAGTACCTTATAGAGTATTTCCACTCCCCTATAAATCCTCGGTGCTCTGCCCATTCATCCTTCCCTTTCTCTAACCCCTGGCAACCTCTGATCTTTTAGTTAGTGTCATCATAATGCATGTGCCCTTAATTTTGTGGAGGGTGGGACAGTTAATTGTTGATTTTTTTGAAGGACACTTCTTTATGGTAAGAAGACCTTTACTGACTTCGTTTTTCTTCTCTGAGACTGGTTTACAGTAAAAATTCCATTTGACTATACTAAACAGGGAATTGTTTAATGACAAGGGGTACTCTTTGTAAGGCAATGTGACAGGGATGAAAGGGTAGTACAGACACAAAGGGAAATGACCCATTTGCTAATATTTAAGTATCTTAAATTAGTTTAAAGATTTCAGTGATTCCAAATGTGTTTTTAGTTTTATAACTTATGTACATGCGTTGATAAAGCCTTCTCACTTTTCCTAGCATCATAGTATTTTTCTCCAGGCTGGTCTCCTAAGGTTTTTCACCCAATTAAGTTAAACATTTACTGTGGTATGTCAGAATATACTCTTGGCACAAAAGTATGTAATTCCCATTCTTGTTTGAATGGCTTCAGTATGGTCTTCTCATTTTCAATTTGATCTAATGAGTTTATACAAACTAATATTGCCTGTTATATATTTATCTTTCTTCTGTGTATTTAAATTAATTTGAAAGCTATTATGATTTATAAATTCATGGAAACTGGATCCTAAGAGCCATTTATTTTTTCCCTCTTTATTTAGATCTATACTTCAATTTTTGCCAGCGTTCATTCATTCACTAGATATTTGTTGAACACTATGGACAGAAGCCTCTGGCAGCCATTGATATGAAATATACACATGAATAAGACATTTTTAGTCCAAGGAACATACAGGATTTTAAGGTGTTTAAAGGCATTAAGAAAAGTTTGTAAATAACATATAAAGTAAAAGCTAAAATGCTGTATCGCAGAGTTTAGAGGAAGGGAGAATTACTTGTTTCTGGGAGAGAATCTGTGAGAAGCAGGCTAGACTTTGAAATATAGATAAGATCAGATGTGTACAAGTGGGGAAAATGTTACTTATTTGTAGCAGTGACTCAAAATAAATAAAGAATATATGTGGAAAAGCTCTATGCTTATAAGAGCATCTGATTTGTCTAGTATTGAATGGGAAGTATGTGGAAATAAAACAAAGTTGATTGGGATGAGATCACTGAGGGCCTTCAATGCAGTTTTTATATGTGTATTCAAATATATATCCATGTTTATAAATATAATAAACACATTTTAATTAAAAAAAACTGTAATTGTTATTTCCATGCTGCTGAATATATGCCACAGCAAGGGTTGTAACTTTTTACTGAATTGTGTGTAGCTACTATTAACTTCAGAAAAATTTTTCTTACGGATGCTGATGTCCAGCTGTTAGTCATTTATTCTTTTCAAAACTTTTCTTCATGATAAAATAAATACGTACATACTCAGTCTTTTTAAAAAGTTTAGATTATACAGGAAAATAGAAAAAAAAAATGGTCATCTGTACTCCAACATTTGCATTTGGTCTGTTTGTTTCCATACAATATTTACTTTTGAAAACATTTTTAAGTGGAACAGAGAATAACAAGAGGTAGGTTTTTTTTTCTGCTTAGATAATTTAGAACTGATAAACTGGTGGCTTCCCTACTTCTGTTTATCTTCCTGTGTGTATTTGATAAACAACTTGAAATCTTTGACTAAAATCTTAATTTTTAATTTAAATCAGAATGTATTGGTCTAAGGTCACTTGAAAGTAGAGTGTATTTTTCAGTTTGCAGAACTGAAAAAAAGCTACTCAGTTGTTACTTTTATTCCAGAAGCATGTTTATTTTTTAACTGTTTAAAACGTTTTAGAGAGATATAAAAAATTTAGTGAGAAGGAAAATTTTCTCCCACTTAACTATGAAGGGTTGTAATTTGCCATTACCAGCATACACACAGTTATGTTTACAATCTCATGTGAAGAAAAAAAATACAGGAATTTGCAGAGCTACAATACCTGGTTAGGGCAAGAGATTTTTAGAAAAGGCAACATAAGGTCTTTCCTTTGGTTCATAGACAATTTGTTTCTAGGGCGCTGCTTTGTGCCAAGTCTTGTAAATACTGAATAGAATTAGACATGACCGCTATCTTCAGTGTGCTCTCAGTCCAGTTTTTAAATTTGAATGGGGGTTTCTGAGAATTGACACCAGGGCCTTGTATGTGCAAAGCAAAATGCAGTAATGCAGAAGACTTCCACTTGATAGAGTTTAAAATTATTAAAGGGAGATGACCGAAAGCCCAGATGTTTTTGTGTATCTTATGATTTTGGTCTTAAAATTAAGGGAGTAAGACAATAAAAAATATATATGCAGCAAGGCAAAATTATTTGAGTATATGTGTTTTAGTATTTTGAAAATAAGAAAAAGGAAATTTAAAGAATGAGACAGGAAGGGATGAGTGGAGAATGGCTTCTTACCACTATTACAAACCGAAGTAGAAGGAAAATATCTTTGTTCTTATTAATTTATAAATGGAAATTTCTTATTATATCCATGCCTTGTATTTATATGCACATATAGTCATTTTGTAATATGCAGTGTTTTTGCACTGTCATGCCTTTCTCAATGTAGTTTCTCAACTTTGAGATTTAGTTTAATTTAAATTTCATCCTTAATACTATTGGATCTTCTAAGTTGCACTGCATAAAACTTTTTTAGTGATTTAACGTTTTCCTGGTCCATGAAGTGGGACATGATAGTCATCTATGGCTATATTGTAGCTGTAGATGTTGAAGACTGTTTTAGAGGAAGTGGTAGTCTAAATCATGTTATCAGTAAGTATTAAACAATTTTAGATTAACCAGTTCTCTATGGAAGTAATTTTTGTTTTGAATTTAATAATATAAATAAGAATTTATATGACATTCCAAATTATAGATATTTTTGTGATTAAAGTGCTTTACATACACAAGAGAAATAAAATATGTTTTTCCTATATGACGATCCTTAAATTTTTGTTTTAAAACATAAGCAAATTCATTTCTTTTTTTTAATTAGCTTTTTTTCCTATGTAGGACACCATTGTGGTGGCTAGATCTATTGTTTTGTCAGCTGCTTCATGTACAAGCAGAGATTGTAAACCTTGTATATTTTTGAAAGCATTTGAAGACCTCAAATCAACTGTTTATGTAAGTGTGCAGCTTTTTTTCTCTAATTATATTGCAGATTTAATGAGCTAAAGTGAAGGGATTGAAAGTATTTCTCTAAATCTGCAGATAAACTATTTGGCCTGACTGAATTATTTATTTGAATATTTTAAGTTTAAAAAAATAGAAGTTTTTTTCTTAGTTTTATGTTTAGAATGACTAGTTAGAAAAGAGAATTCCTTTATATTTAATAAATACTTATTAATGAAACTTACAAAACTGCACAGACATTCTAGACTGGGTACTGTTCCTTGTAATTACCATCAGATGCATTGCTCTACTTGATTTCACTTTAGATAATCAAGTACCCCTTTAGGTGAAACTGATTTGCTCCTATTTTATTCATTGTGAAGATAATCTTCCTCTCCTTTTCTCTTTTAACACCCCACCTTCCACACACACACACACACTTGAAAACTGCCTTTTTAGTCAAGGCTATTAGGTAGAATTGGGCTAAGCCAAGTGCCTGCAGGCCAACATCTGCCTCTTTTTTTCTAGTATGCACAAAGGTACTATAAGGGCTGGCGGTGGCTCTGTTTGAGATTAAAATTAATGAATTAGGTTGGAGATGGGTAAAATTTGCAGTTAGAGTGATCACTGAAGCACAAGTACATTTTCATTTAACCTTACAGCTTCGCTTTTTTTTTTTTTTAGTTTCTATAGCTTAGACAACTTTGCAGATTTCACTCTCAATTTGTAAGCCATAACTTTATGCCATCCTAGTGAATTTAAATATTTTACAGTGAAGTGTGTTCTTTTATTACAACTAAAAAGCCTGTAGTCACATTGGAGGTGATTTGTATACAAATAAGTTATTTCTTTTTTTTTCCCCTTCAGGTTTATGTTAAATCCTGTAAGAGATCTTTCTACAGAATCAATGTCTTTGGTAAGATGATACTCAGTTTAATTTAGAATATTACCACTTACAACCATATATACACACACACATAGATACAAGTGTTCACATATTCAGTCCGCTTTGTAATTTGACATAGTATCAATACACTGGAAAAACATAGTCTTTTTTTATAGCTGATAATGTTATGTTGGAGCTATGTATTTTACTTAGTAATCAGTATCTAAATATTTTATTGTCTGAAATATCTGCTGATTGTGTAAGCTATACATACATAAGAAAAATAAAACAAGTTTTTACTATATGACAGTCCTTAAATTTTTATTTTAAATCATAGGCAAATTCATTTGTTTCATTAGCTTCTATTTAACCAGACTATTATGTGATGAATTATATAATTGAACAAATTATATAATTTTAAGTAGTTTTCTAATGATACATTTTTTTAACCATCTTTTCCCTCTATTTATGGCATAGGTATACCTATAACTTCCTCATAGCAATAGGAAGATTCTTATTTTTACAGATAGGCTACTTGTAGCTGAGTGAAACTGGAAAGAAGGTATTAATAATATGTTGGTGTAGTTTAATATAATGTTTATGTTCTACTTACGTTTTAGAACTTTTAGTTTCAAATAGAATTCAGGAACTCTTTCTAGTTGACAATGACTATAAAACACAGATTTTAAATTCTGAGTATTAGTATAATTAATATTTTTGGGAGGACTGTTACTAATAAAAGAACTGATATACCATTTAAAAACTGTGAGTTAACTCTGGTATTAGTATTTCACCATTGTTATAGATTGATTAATTTCAAATATTTGATATATCTGTGAACCTGTAAATAAGGCAGGAATAAATGAAAAAGCCTATAAACTTTGCAAAAATGTTTTTTCACAAAGCCCATGTATTATAAATAAATCAGGTATGGATCTATTTGACGTTATTTTCCTTTATTTTCCTGACTCATCAAAAGATGCTCATTTGGCACATTTCCACATTTTTAAACTAAGCGTGGATCTTGGAGTTGATATCAAGAAAACAGACAGTTACTGTTTTTGAGTTTCTTATTGTTTTCCTGAAAAAGTATACTTTTTCAAGAATTTATTATATGTGTAGTTTGTGTGAGAACCAGGATGGTTCTCAAAATTCCTAAAGTAGAGTATTTTGTTTTTCAGTGGTAGAAAGTTTACTTTTTTCAAGTGACTTAGAATAATTATTTGATCTTGTACTGTCTTTTGGATTTAAAAGCTTTACTGGCCCACTTATGTGATCTGAAGGCCCAACATAAACTATCCCCTGTGTTTTTATTCAGCCTAATCTTGTTATTGTCTTTGACCCATACACTCCAATGCAAACCTCCTGGATTTTCATACATACTGAGTATGTTTTCTCTGCTTGGAACACTGTTGCTTATCTCAGTCCCAACTTCTGTACTTTCTAATACAACTCTAAGACATCTCTCCACTTTTATGGTTTGTTCTTCCATTGGTTCAGGGGCTATTTGTGTTTTGTTTACACTTTTATTTTTAGTGCCCTATATAGTACATGGCCCATCAATGAATGAATGAAAGAAGGACAGAAATAAAGGAATGAATGAATTGAATTATGCTACTAGGTATCTTTCTCTCTTCAGGCTTTTATTGTCTTGACTTTTTTTACTGTGCTTGATTTTTGTCCAGTTAACTTTCTGCATATGCAGTAAATTGTATCTCATTTAGCCCAGTGCTCACATTTTGTTGACTGATTCCATAATGGGCTGCCCCTTAAGCTATCAAGAAAAACATTGTTCATGTCTGTGTGAAATATGGAAAAATGGATCTATGATATACTTGGTGATAATGCTATCAAGTTATCTTTAGTATATCATGAGCCCATGGTTTTCTCATGAATATATTTTACTATTTTAGGACAAGTGCCTGTGTTGTGCAATACTAAGCAACTTGCTGTGTAGAGCTATTAAAAATTCAGTTCATGATTTGCAGTAGTCATACTTAAATTTCTGGATAGCCACAATATTGGTATAGAATATTTTCATTATCACAGAGGATTCTCTTGGATAGTGCTGTTCTAGATTATTTAGTGAGCAATAAAAAAACCTCAACAAGTGTTTTTGTAAGTACTAATTTTATTAGCCTAGGAGTTGTTAGAATGCCATAAATAACATATGCCTATTGCCTTAGATATTAAACATGTGCCTTTTGCATCTGCCACGTGAAACTATTTTCAGATCCCTGATTACATAACGCTAGTATGTGCTATCACCTCTCCTTGTTACTTGTCCTTCAAAATTTAGATTTGTTGCCACCTTCAGAAAGCTTTTGCTTACCGTTCTCCTTAGCTAACTCGCCTATTTCCCCCACTAACAAATATTTGTTCGTACTGATTTGGATGTCCCTCTACAGTCCTTTTATGGAATGCCATACTTTATTGTATCAGCAAGGGAGGCAAATTGGTCACTAAGATAGGACTGACTGGAAATCATGTAAATTTAATTACCATGTTCAAGTGTGAGCCTACTCAAGGGTGTATTAACCAAACGTAAGAATATTAACCAAACTCATTAGAGAATGATTAAGAAGCAAAAATGTCAGTTTATGAATTTATAATGAGGATTATAACTTAGCTGTTGTACACATAAATACTTGCTGATTTAGCTGGAAAGCCAAACAAGAAGTTGTTTATTGGTAATGAATTGACAAGTGGCAGTCACTTGGTTGATTATAATGGTTAGTGTCATTGAGTTTTTCTGGCCTTTCCCATTCATCTCTTCATAAAGGGAGATACTTGTTAAGATAGAATATTGCGTGTAAGCTAAGCACATGTTTTCTGTCTGCTGTTCAGTATGCTTGTGTTCCATTATTCCTCTTTCCACTCCATTATTCTGTTACTCTTTTTTTAATCATTGATGAGCTACAGCTTTCTTTTATATTGAAGTTTGATTAGATTAGCAAATTCTACTCTTTTGTTTAACCTGAGAAATAAGCATCCTTGGAAAAAAATTTTTTATTTGAGTTTTAAAATTTTAACTGGAGTGACCGGTGTCCTCATTTCCAGTTGATATTGGGGCCACCTACCTAAAGCCTTTTAAGGGTTTATTTAGCATCACTGTTAATATGCAAACATATCCTAGTGAACCACTCTCTCTTTTCTTTCCCAACTTATTTACAGTTACTTCAAAAAATAATCTTTTGGTTCTCTTATTATTATAAAACAAAAGAAGCTCGCTGCCTGATGTGCTAGAAGCCAATATAATGAAACCGAATTTTTGAGAAAAGCAAAGCTGAATGTCGGCACCAACGGAGACACGAACTGAGCACAAATATGTCTCCCTGTGCTGTCTTTAAGGAAAGTAATTTTATTAGAAAAGCTTTAGAGAGTAGATACTGGGATTAGTAAGTCATTAGTAGAACGAAAGGGGAGATTTGGAAAGTCCATGGGCATGCACAGTTATTTCTTCATATTAATGCATACGTTGCACCTGCAAATTTAGATGGAGTTAGTACGATGAATGTGATGTCAGGGTCAGCGTCTCAGCAAGTTGTTTCTTTTCTTATCTGATATTCTGCAAACTCAAGAATTTTTGTTAGTTGCTGATGTCAACTTTTCAATAAGTTTTCTTATCTGCTATAATGTAAGCCCCAGAATTTAGACATTGTTAATTTTAATTCTTTGGGGTATGGTTTCATTATTAGCATTTTAAATCTTTTCATACCATTTATAACTCAAAACCTGGCTTGAGTTATAAGTCAGAATTTAGGCCTAAGGAAAATCTCTATAATAGCATGGGGGTAAGGAGAATAAATTGTACCACAAGTTTCAAAGTAATATTTTAAAAAATAGAAACAAATCTCTTAAATTGCATTTTTTAGAATTTGCTATCTGTTAACAATTGGATTTCTTTTCCCTCAGGTAGAATTCCTTGGCCAAATAAGCTGGGATAGACTATTAAAGATAGCTAGGATGATTTAATTAGTAAACAATTTCTTAAGAGTGTCCTTAAAAAAAAATTTCCTAAACATACAAGAGATGTAATTTTATTGTTAAGACTAGTATAGTATTCCAGTTGCTTTTCAGGGCTTCTAAAAATAATTCATTATGCCTAGTCATTTACCTTTAATAAAACTCTTTTCCTAGACCTTGTACATTGAAGATGCACATATTTTAAAAGGAGTATTTTTTGTTTTCTGTCATTGCTTCAGTTTTGTCATGTATTGTTGGTATTTCACTACAGATGATCCTTGATTTACAATGAGGTTACATCCAATAAACTCATCATAAGTTAAAAATGTTGTAAGAAAAAAATGTATTAAATAGCCTAATAGACACATTCTAAAGTCATAAAATTTTAAGTCAAACCATCATTAGTCAGGGACTATGTGTGTATACTGCTGGCTACTTTTTTATTGAAGAAATATAATGTTTTATTTAGATTATAGGTTAGTTATGCCTTTATGAGCAAGTGTGCAAATTGTACCTTTTATAAACAAAGTTCTAAGGAAAACTAGTTGGTTTATATAGTAACCTTTGTAAGCTGAGCTGTGTGCATTGCTTTTTTTCAGGTTACAGCTTCTTTTAGACACTTAAGAGGATAAAATACAGACATATGGATTTGCTACAAATATGACTATAACATGATCTACAATGTAAATACTTAATATAAATGTATTCACTGTCTTCTCTTTTTTTAGGTTCCAACAACAAATTATATATATACACCCCTGAATCAACTTAAGGGTGGTACAGTTGTCAATGTCTACGGTGTTGTGAAGTTCTTTAAGCCCCCATATCTAAGCAAAGGAACTGGTAGGTATTAAAACTGGTGGAGTTTTTATGGAGTAGAAATGAATTACTGATTTATGAACACAGTTCCTTCAGTACCCTAAGTCCTAGAATACAAGCTCAGTTCTCACCTGTAATCACCAAACAACGCTGATGCATATTCTTTGGCTAGTTTAATTTATAAAATAAATATGATCTTTAGATTCTAGAGTCTAGTTAAAAACAGTAAGGACAAAGAATGAAGCAAAGGATGTCAACCAACAACATGAAAGCATATGAAACTATAAAATTCACTGGTAAAAGTAAATATATAAACAAATGCAGAATACTGCAATTCTGTAACATTGATACATAAATCACTTTTAATTCTGGTATAGAAGTTGAAAGACAAATATATAAAAGGAGCTGTAACTACAGAAATGTGTTAATGGATATATACATACTATAAAAAATTGTAAATTATGGCAAGAATAGCATAAAGTGTGGTAGGGGTAGAAGTAAAAGTGCGGAGTTTTGGATGCAATTAAAGTTTTCAGGTTAAAATAGATTGCTATAAATTTAAGGTACTTTATGTCAACCTCATGGTAACCACAAAGAAAATACCTGTAAAAGATACACAAAAGAAAATGAGAAGGGAATCAAAGCATGTCATTACAAAAAAATCAAACACAAAGGAAGATAGCAAGAGAGGAAGATAGGGAATTAAGAGCCACAAGACAGACAGAAAACCATGAATTAAATGGCAATCGTAAGACCTTCCTAATCAATAATTATTATCATGATAAATGAATTAAATTCCCCAACGAAAAATCATAGAGTAAATGAGTGCATTAAAAAAACAAGATACAACTGTATGCTGTCTACAAAAATTCACTTTAGATTTAAGGACACACATAGGCTAAATGAAAATGGAAAATGGAATGGAAAAAAATATTTCTTGCAATGGTAACCAAAAGAGAAGGGGTAGCCATACTTATATGAAACAAAAGAGACTTTAAGTCAGAAACTGTAACAACAGGCCAGGCGCAGTGGCTCACGCCAGTAACCCCAGCACTTTGGAAGACCAAGGCGGGTGAATCACAAGATCTGGAGTTCGAGACCAGCCTGGCCAAAATAATGAAACACTGTCTCTACTAAATACAAAAAATTAGCTGGGCGTGGTGTCATATGCCTGTAATCGCAGCTACTTGGGAGGCCGAGGCAAGAAAATAACTTGAACCTGGGAGGTGGAGGTTGCAGTGAGCCGAGATTGGGCCATTGCACTCCACCAAGTTTCGGCTTGATCTCAGGAAAAAAAAAAAAAAAAACATGTCACAAGACACAGTTTTTGGGCATTATATAATGTTAACAGGGTTAATTTACCAAGAAAATATAAGAGTTACATATGCTGCTAACATCAAAGCACGTAATCCATGAAGCCAACATTTCAGAAATGAAGGGAGAAATAGCAACACAATTATAGTAGGAGGTTTCATTTCACCATTTTCGATAATGGGGAGAACATCCAGACAGAGATCAATAAGGAAACAGAAAATCTGAACAACACTATAGACCAAATGGACCTAATGGACACAAACAGAATATTCTACCCAGCTAGACCAGAGTATACATTTTTCTCGAGTGCACATAGAATGCTCTCCAGTGTAGGTAACTCATTAGGTTACAAAACAAGTCAGTAAGTTTCAGATTAAAATCATGGCAAGTATCTTTTCTGACTTCAGTAAAATGAAACTAGAAATCAATAGCAGGAGGAAAATTGTAAACTTTAGAATTGTGTGGATATTAAACAATACACTCTTGAATAATCAGTAAGTCAAAGAGGGGGTCAAAAAGCAAATTAGAAAATACCTTGAGATGAAGAGAAATCCAAGATGGCCAAATAGAAACAGTTCCAGAGTACAGTTCCCAGCAAGAACAATGCAGAGGGTGAGTGCCCACCACATTTCCAAACAAATTTTCACTGCCCACAGACCAGGAGATTCCTAGACCAAAAAGCACCATGAGTTTTAAGTACGGCAGTTTCAGCTAGTGCTGGGTTGGCACACAGAAACACAAATCTGGGCAGCCATTTCAACTGACCCCTGGGAGACAGAGCTGCCCATTCAACTGAAAGGGAGCAGGCAGAGACGGAGCCAGGTGATCTGGCTCACCGAGTACCACCCCCACAAAACAAGCAATCTGAAACACTCTGGATTGAGAGTTGTGCAGCTGGACCCAGGACGGTCCAGCTCAGTGGAGGGAAGGGCAGTCACCACTAATGAGACAGTCTGTCACTATCGAGGCAGTTCACACAGCAGCTGGGCAGAGCCTGCAGCAGCTGAGCAACGCCTCTACTGGCAGACTGTGACTAGACTACTCCCCGTGGGGCAGGGCATCTATGAAAAAAGGCAGCAGCATGCCAGGAACTTATAAATAAAGCTGACCTTCCTAGGACAGAGCATCTGGGAAAAGAGGCAGTTATGAGTGCAGCAGACTTAAAAGTAATTGCCCAGCAGCTCTGCATGCAACAACGGAGCTCCCAGCAAAGGTCTTGAGCTCCTATAAGGGACAGACTGTCTCCTCAAGCAGCTCCCCAATCCCTGTTTACCGAAAGAGACACCTCATAAAGAAGAGCTCAGGCCAACATCTGGCAGTCACCCTTCTGGGACGAAGACGAAAACAGCAGCAACCCTTACTGTTCTGCAGTCCCTGCAGGTGATCCCCAGGCAAGCAGGGTTGGGAGTGTACCTCCAGCAGTCCTGCAGCAGAGGGGCCTGACTGTTAGAAGAAATACTAAGAAACAGAAAGAGAGAACTTCATCGTCAACAAAAAGGACATCCACTTAGAGACCCCACTGAAAGTCACCAGCTACAAACACCACAGGTAGATAAAGCCACTAAGATGGGAAGAAACCAGTGCAAAAAGGATGAAAACACCAAAAACCAGAACACCTCTCCTCCTCCAAAGGATCACAACTCCTCATCAGCTAGGGATCAAAGATGGATAGAGAATGAATCTGATGAATTGACAGAAACAGGCTTCAGAAGGTGGGTAATAAGAAACTTCTCAGAGCTAAAAGAACCTGTTCTAACCCAAAGCAAAGAAACTAAGAACCTAGAAAAAATGTTAGATGAGGTGCTAACTAGAATAAACAGCTTAGAGAAGAATATAAACGACATGATGGAGCTGAAAAACACAGCATGAGAACTTTGCGAAGCATACATGAGTTTCAATAGCCAAATCCACCAAGCGGAAGAAAAGATATCAGAGATTGAAGATCAACTCAATGAAATAAAATGAGAAAGCAAGAATAGAGAAAAAAGACTAAAAAGAAATGAACAAAGCCTCCAAGAAATATGGGCTTATGTGAAAAGACCTAATCTACATTTAATAGGTGTACCTGAATGTGATGGAGAGAATGAATCCAAGCTGGAAAGTTCTCTTCTGGATAATTATCCAGGAGAACTTCCCCAACCTAGCAAGCCAGTCCACCATTCAAGTCCAGGAAATACAGAGAACACCACAAAGATATTCCTGAAGAAGAGCAACCCCAAGGCACATAATTGTCAGATTCAGGGTTGAAATGAAGTCAATGTTGTTAAAATACTGCCCAAAGCAATTTACAGATTGAACACTATTCCTATCAAACTACCAATATGATTCTTCACACAATTAGAAAAAAGAATTCTAAAATTCATATGGAATCAAAAAAGAGCCCAAATGACCAAAGCAATCTGAAGCAACAAGAACAAAGCTGGAGGCATCACATTAGCTGACTTCAAACTATACTGGAAAACTATAGCAACCAAAACAGCCTGGTATTAGTGATACAAAAACAGATACATAGAGAGATGGAACAGAATAGAAAACTCAGAAGGACAGCTATACACCTATAACTGATACAGTTTTGGTATTTGTCCCTGACCAAATCTCATGTTGAATTGTAATCCCCAATGCTGGAGATGGGGCATGGTGGGAGATGTTTGCGTCGTCTAATGCAACAACCATGAGATCTTCAATAAAGTTAACAAAAGCAGTGGGGAAAGGACTCTCTATTCAATAAAGTGTGCTGGGACAACTGACTAGCCATGTACAGAAGAATGAAACTGGAGCCTTACCTTTTATCATATACAAACATTAACTCAAAATGGATTAAGGATTTAAATATAAGACCTGAAACTGTAAAAATCCTTGAAGAAACACATAGGAAATACCCTTCTCAGCATTGGCCTTAGCAAATACTTTTTGGCTAAGTTCCCAAAAGGAATTGTAACAAAAATAAAAATTGACAAATGAGAACAAACTAAACTAATGAGCTGCCTGCAAAAGATACTATCAACAGAGTAACTGTACAGCCTACAGAAAACAAGAAAATATTTAGAAACTGAATCTGACAAACATCTATTATCCACAATCTATAAGGGAGTTAACAAGCAAACGCCAAATAACCCAATTAAAAAGTGGGCAAAAGACATGAACAGACACTTCTCAAAAGAAGACAAACATATGAAAAAATGTTTATCCTCACTAATCACCAAAGAAATTCAAATGAAAACCACAATGAGACACCGTCTCATACCAGTAAGAATGGATATAATTAAAAAGTCAAAAAATAACAGATGCTGGTAAGCTGTGGAGCAAGAGAAATCCTTGCATACACTGTTGGTGGAAATCTCAACTTAGAACAGCTACCATTCAACCCAGTAATCTCATTACTAGGTATATACTTAAAGGAAACTAAATTATTCTACCAAAAAGACACATTTATATTTCATCACAGCACTATTCACAGTAGCAAAGACATGGAATCAACCCAGGTGCCATCAATGGTGGGTTAAAGAATATGATATACATCTACGCCATTGAACACTATGCAGTCATAAAAAGTAACAAAATCATGTCCTTTGCAGCAGCAGGGGTGCATATGGAAGCCATTATCCTAGGTGAATTAACACAGAAACAGAAAACCAAATACCTCATGCTTTCACTTACAAGTAGGAGCTAAACATTGAGTACTTGTAGACATAAAGATGGAAATAATAGAC